AAGTGAGCTATGGACAAAAGAAAGCATTGAAATAAATATGTATACACACTCTCACACACGTGCACACCTACACACACACACAATGTTTTGTGTGCTCCTTTTGTTTGTGCAATGGACTGTTCTCCCAGCAGCCATTTTGCCAAACATGCATGTTAATGACATTAAAGAAGGCTCTGTTTTTATTTGCACAGCCCTAATTATCATGATTAGAGATACCGTAGTTTTATTTACCTCCCGCATTCATTGTGAAACAGCGGTGATATCTCGGAATGGCTTTGCAATTCTGCCCTTTATCATTCTGCATATGGCAAACTATTAAAATGATCAACTAATGAGTGATGAGGAAAATGACATAAGTGCATGGTATCAATGGCCATTTCAAAGGCGTGTTCCTCCAAAGATAGAAACTGAACACATTCTCCCACTCGGGAAGATTGAAGCAGTGAGACAGGATAATTGTCTCTGAGCAGTCATTATCACCATCATTATGGTGGAAATCGCATGCTATTTTAGAGACGCTATAAAGTCTTGATCTGCACAGTTCACTGGACGATGTGTCAGACAGGCAGGATAGAGATGAAGACAAATCTGCTGAATGAGTGACATTCCACATGTGGTCAATGGGAAATGAGCTGTCACTTATACTGCGCTTTTCTACCTTGGGTACTCAAAATGCTTTACACTGTTACCTTGTTCACTTACTGACGACGCAGCATGAGGAGCTCGAGGACACTTTGACATGGTCACAATGGCCGAGGATCGAAAAAACACTCTCCCACTGAGCCGCGCCTCCACCTGTATCAAAATATGTGCCAATGAAAACAAGCTATTCTGAATCTATCATTCTCAGCAGGGTGCATGATATTTTAACATCTCAAGAGACGAGTCCTATTTAATGATGAGAACTTTTCTTATTTCCTGGCAGAAAATGAAGAACACTGCACAGAGAAAAATAATGAAAGGCTCTAGGGGCTGCCAACATTATTCATAAAATAATTGCAAAACATTTGACTCAACAACCCCTGCGCATTTCAAGCGACCCCAATACGATGGAGCTCCAGCCAAACAGCAACGCCAACCAAGCTTTGTGGAAAGAGATTCCGTGGGATTTCACAGAGGACTGCTCGCTCTCGTTGAGCGGCACCACCTTCCTCATCGTAGCGTACAGCGCCGTTCTGGCGGTGGGACTCGTCGGCAACTCGTGCCTGGTGCTTGTTATTGCCAGGCACAAAGAGATGCGCAATGTCACCAACATCCTCATCGCCAATTTGTCCTTCTCCGACATCCTGATGTGCGTCGTGTGCCTGCCGGTCACCATCTTGTACACGCTGATGGACCGATGGATCCTCGGGGAGGCTCTGTGCAAGCTCACGCCCTTCGTCCAGTGTATATCAGTCACTGTGTCCATCTTCTCCATTGTCCTCATCGCCATGGAGCGCTACCAGCTCATTGTCCACCCCACTGGATGGAAGCCGATGGCAAGGCAGTCCTACTTGGCGGTGGCTCTCATCTGGATCACAGCCTGTTTAATCTCTGTGCCTTTCGTCAAGTACAGCATCCTCACATTGCCTTTCCAGAACCTCACCGGCCCCTTCCAAGTCATCGACCAACCTGTTTGTATGGAGCGGTGGCCTTCAGTCCAAGCGCGCCAGGCCTACACCACCTCTTTGCTCATCTTCCAGTACTTTCTGCCTCTTTCCTTCATCATGCTATGCTACTTGCACATCTATCTGCGGCTGCGGAGGAGGAAGGACATGGTGGAACGTGGAAGAAACACCAAGCAAAAGAACAACAAAGGTGCCACGAGGATCAATATCTTGTTAACCTCCATCGTGGTGGCCTTTGCCCTCTCCTGGCTCCCTCTCAACATCTTCAACACCGTGTTTGATTGGAACCACGAGGCCATTCCATCCTGTGGCCATGACATCATTTTCTCCTTCTGCCATCTCATCGCCATGGCCTCCACCTGTATCAATCCGGTCATCTACGGGTTCCTCAACAACAACTTCCAGAAGCAGCTGAAGTCCACCCTGTTGCATTGTCGCTGCTGGGACGTTGCAGAGCGGTATGAGAGTGTGCCGCTCTCCACTGTGAGCACAGAGGTCACCAAGGGGTCGGTGCTGAGCAATGGCTCCAACAGCATCAATACTTAAAGCGAAGCTTTTCGGTGAAAAAAGAAGCAACCACGCCGGCCCCCTCCTCTGCTCTCTTGATTTTATTCCTCGAAGGCTTTTTGTTTTCTTCAATGCAAAAGCATGGTTGACATTTTCAGGGAACCTGACAATAACTGACGAGGAAAGTAAAGTCACGGCCTGACTGGTGCCCTCTAATTGTTATGGTTCCTGACTAAAAGGATGTGACAAAATGACAGGACAAAGGTTGGAAAGGTTTGCAGTAATAAAGGATGACTACAACACACACTTCACATAAGAACTTTGTGCATTTGCACTCTGTATAGTGCTGTGGGACCATAAAATATTTATTATAGCCATCTAAAAAAAAGGCTCCTTCGATGGTATCTTTTCATGCTGAAGTCATTGTATTTAAATATTTGCAGCTTGCTTTGCAAACCGTGATTCTGTGCATTGGAAACCTCAAATGAAGTAACAAGGACAAGGTGGGTGTCTGGCAAATGCTGACAGCATTAATGACTATAAAATGGAGTGTGACCCGTGTTGTGTTAATGATTATTGACGGAGCAGCCTTGTGCACAGTTGAAGGGAAGAACATTTTGCTGTGACTCTGGGCATTTATGTGCATTGTGTTCATGTGTTTCTTTTTTTAACTAACTCACCAACAGTGTAATAAACCTGATAAGCTGAGACATTCTCCATGTTGTCCACAAGGATGTTTGCATCAGTATATTGTGCGCAAATGGGGGTAGATTTGCTAATGCATTGTGCCCTGGAACAATATATCAAGTGCCGTAAAAAAAAAAAAAAAAGGAAAAAAAGTCAATTGAGCAATTCAGGCCAAAGTATGATTCCTAAACTGTATATAACCCTACTCAATGAATGTTTGGCCTGTAAACTATGTGACACTTTCAGTCTCTTGTGTGGTTGGCAATAAAAAGCATTGTGTAGCTAAGCAGGAAACGTGTTACTCACTTTGGTATGTGGATTGAATTAAAACATTTATGTTTATCTTAAGTGATGTATTTATTTGTAATTTCACAATAACAATTTAAATGACCATGTTTGTGCTCTTTCTTTTTTGTTGCATTGTTTCTCGATTTCACCTAAAACGGACCCATCACAGCTTATATCAACTGATTGTTCTTCTATTAAAGGCAAACTATCACAGTCAGCCCTGACTGAGTATTTTCCACCGTCCCCAGAGATTAAGACTGAGCCACTTACTCCATTGTGTAGAATGAAATAGAGAGAGTGTGTGTGTGTGTGTGTGTGTGTGTGTGTGTGTGTGTGTGTGTGTGCCTGCCATGCATGTTTTTGGAATGTGGGAGGAACCCGGAGTACGGGGAGAAAACCCACGCAAGGCCCAGGGAGAACATGTAAACACACAGGGAGGCCAGAGCCGGAATTGAACCCTGCACCTCTGCACTGTGAGGTCGACACGCTAACCACTGGTATATAGGGCATTTTCCTTTGTAGATGCAGAATAAATCAAAGTGTTTGTTGCCTGCGATGTTAAATAGTGTGGGGAGGGGGAAAAAAAACAACACTCCACTCAGTCAGAGCTCAGTGGGAATTGTGCTAAATATTCATGCTGGAGGAGCGCTTATCAACACATACTCATCAGCCGCTACGTTAGGTACACCTGCACAATGCAATCTAATATGAGGACTGTATTAAAAAATATTTCTACAAAGCACAAAGAAAACACAGCGGTTTTGATGGACACTATCAGAGGTGTAATTGATATGACTTCGTTTTGTAGAAACGGCCTGATTCATACTGAGAGATATTCCTGACATTATGCCCCTCATGTTGCCAAATAACATGGCAAAATCATTCCAAACACTTCTTAGTGCGATGCAGTTCCATTATTCATCATTGTTAAAATCACTTAGCAGAATTGTAGCATTATTTTCTTTATAAATCTGAATTTTTGATATAGTTCTTATATTGGATCACATTAGATTACAGTCTATCCATGGTTATGGCCAATGAGTCTAAAATGATGATGCTTCCCAACTCTGAATATGACGCCATCGAGCTTCATGTGTTTTGAGTGACAATGTTACTCTGTGCAGGATCTTTATAACCTCTGCTTAAAGTGCTTCTCACAATATTTTCCCTGGGCAGCGTCTTAAATTAGCTCTCTGAAGGCTTTGTCAACATAATTGACTGCATGCATCCTCCACCTTGTCCCGCAATGACATTTACTGACCTCTTCTGCCGCCAGAGGCAGGATGAAGGGGCCCAAAGGCAGACGTAGTCCAGAAACAATTTATACAACGCTGTCTCACGTTATTATACTCGTCAATGCTGAGGGGGGATGAGGGATTCTTGGGTCATTATGGTGCAATGAAACACTGCAGATCTAATGAGTTCACAGGATCTGACACTTCCAATCTGTAGGGTTATTCCAGAAAAGATTTTCATCTTGGCTCCCTGCATTTCATTTTGGGATATTCTCCTGAATCAGAATCAGAATCAGAATCATCTTTATTGGCCAAGTATGTAGAACACACAAGGAATTTGTCTCCGGTATAACACGCTGCTGAAAGCAATAGTCTTAAGATCACAGGGATAACAAAAAACTAAAAAGTTGGCAAGAGGCTCATCACATGCTAATAATGGCATTCTCTTGGCGAATCAAGTGGGAAAGCTCATATTAGGTGTACCTTTTACAAGATCATCAGGATTCAGATCGAGTCAGGCTTCTAAATGGTTTCAACATCTGGAATAGAATCGTCCTTGTGAGAATCCCAGTGGGGGGGGGGGCATTTTTGTATTTTAACATCATCAACAAATTTTGTTGTATTTTGAACCAAGACACACATGCAGCTTCATGCTGTTCTTGTTTTACCCAGCAGGTGGCAGACTGGAGCCCAACCTTCTGTGTGCACACCTGCTGCCAATTTTGTCATTAGGGAGCCATGTATTTAAGAACTAACAAACTTTCAGCAGGTTGTCGGAGTATTGTTGACCTTGCTACTGCTATTGCTCACGTGATCATTTTTCTCGACTGCTCGCTCTTGTCGTGTTTGTTCTGGTTCTATGTTTTTGTAAGTATAGTCTTAGTTTTCGTCATTTGTTCTTGCTTCACGTGAATTGGGTTCTTGGCATTTCGTTTGGTAGTCTCGGGTTAATTTCTTCCTTGCCTTTTTGCAAGCGCTTTTGGTGATAGTATTTTTTCTTTCCCTGGTCATTATTTGACCAGCGATTTCTGTTCCTACTTTGTCGGTGCATTTTTGTGTGAATATTTCTGTTACGGAGTTTTGTCTGGTGGCTACCATTCTGGGATCCTAAAAATGATTTTGGTTCGTTTTCAAACCGTGACACATGCTCCCTGATGATTGAAGAGAAAAGAAACAACTCGCGTCTTGTCGAGTTCTCTTCCTGTTGACATATGAGTCTGAACAAGTAACGATCCTCATCCACCTAAAGGTGAGTGCAATCCTTGACACAACCTCTTGTACTGAGAGACCTTTTAGAATCTCAAATGTAGTTCACCAGTGCACTGGTATAAATCATATTTAAGTCTCATTTCATTCAATGAAACACTTTCTCATTCCAGCCTTCTCCTGTTTTCTCTGATGTTGAAGGTTTACCAAGGCTTTTCCTATGTCCCCTTTGTTTATCCTCTCTTTTGACTCTGCACAGGTACTCCCAAGTTTGTTTTTTTTTCTATAAGTTTGTTTTTTCATTCACTTTTTTTAAACATTGGAATTATTTAAGGTCATGTACAGTGATCTGAAAGATTATTCAAAACAATATTTATCAGCCCTTCACCTATTGTCTATACATACCGCTTTGCCTTCATTTGGGTCACAGGTAAACCAGAATGGTTGCCAGTCAATCACAGGGTACATGTAGACAATTTAGCAATCGTGCTCACGCTTACGGACAATTTTTTTTTTAAGAAGTTGGAAAGCTGGAGTATCTGTAGAAAAACCCCACACATGCAGGGAGAACATGCAAACGCCACATGGGCGGGCTGGGGCCAAAATTCGAAGGCAAGACCTCTTGACTGTGAGGCAAATGTGCCAACCGCTGGACCTGAAAAATGTTATTAGCAACAGCAGTAATAGTAGTACATTTATGAGGCGCATTACTTGGTTCAGAGGAGCAGCATTATTGAAAGGCATGCTACTAAACAAATTCCAGTAGTCATGAGGAAGATATCTGTACCCAGCTCACTTGCTCAGAGGAAAAAAAGAAACTCACAATCAATTCTCTGTCGACACTTCATTATGCTTAATGAAGGTATCGCTGACTTCTTGATTTACACACAGAGATACCGGCAGTGCTAAAGGCCTGCATCGTGGGAGTTTAACTTTGAATTCACTTTTCTGCTAAACACATTTTCGTGTGGATAAAAGCACTCTCTAAATTTATGACTTTTGTATGTCGTGGCTTGGTTGCAACATCTCGTTTTAGTAACGGCACTAGAATTAGAAAATACATGATATAGCCAGGGTGGCACGGTCAGCTTCTAACCAGGAGCACGTTTGCATGTTCTCCCTGTGCCTGTGTGGGTTTTCTTTGGGTACTACAGTTTCCGCCCACGTTTCAAAAACATGCATGGTAGGTTAATGGAACACTATAAATCGGGGGTGTTAAACTCATTTTTGTCACTGGCCACTTTGGAGTTACGTCTTCCCTTAGAGGACAGTTATGACAGTGAAACCGAATAAATGCTTGGATCCATTTTCCGATCCATTTATCCTCACAAGGGTCGCAGGGGGTGCTGGAGCCTATCCCAGCTGTCTTTGGGCAGTAGGTGAGGGACACCCTGAACTGGTTGCCAGCCAATCGCAGGGCACACAAGAGATGAACAACCATCCACACTCACACTCACACCTAGGGACAATTTAGAGTGTTCAATCAGCCTGCCATGCATGTTTTTGGAATGTGGGAGGAAACCAGAGTACCCGGAGAAAACCCACACAGGCCCGGAGAGAACATGCAAACTCCACACAGGGAGGCCGGAGCTGGAATTAAACCCGATACCTCTGCACTGTGAGGTCGACGCACTGGACTACTGGGCAGTCTGTTTAATCATCACATTGTATTATTACTTGTACACAAAAAAGATGGATGGATTTCTAGTTTTGAAATCAGTCAACTGTTTGTTGTTTGTTCAATTACTGTTCAAGGGTAACAAAATGATTGTGAAATCTCAACGTTACTTGTTACACATGACAAGTTGACATTTTGGTAAAGATTTTAGCAAGGACCAAGGTAGTTGACACACATCATTTGCTTTTGTGCGCCACATAAAATGACTTGGCGGGCCTTGAGTTTGACAGCTGTGCTCTCAATATCTAATATCTAATGGTTGTTTGTCTATGTGTGCCCTGCAATTGGCTGGCAAGCACTGCCACCCCTGATTTCCAAATGTGTTAGGGTTACGGGACTGAGCGGAGTGAAAATCAAGTGACATGAGTAAAGTGTTGTTTAATTCTAAAGAAAACAAACCAATTTGCTCCTTCTCTCTTGTATTGAAGAGGATCTACTACGCTGTAACACTCCTAACAAGAGAATATTGGCCTTTGTGGGTCCTAGTTTTTACTTCGAAACATTCCGTTCTTATCTGAGTGACATGACCTGGAACTACATAGGGGAAGGTGAGTTCGGATTCTAAAAATGCTTCGGAAAGATATCTTGAGTGAACCTTTCAAAACTACCACCGAGACTAAGCATCGTGTCTGTTACTACTGATCGAGCTTCAAAAAGGAAAGAATCCTTTATGGCAGCAATAAATCAACAGGTCACCGACAAAGTTTACCGACTCTACGCGGAAATGCTTGAGAGTTTCATGCTCGGAACTGACATAAGCAATGTTTGCTGTCGCACAATAACTGATTAGGAAAAGTGGAGTCAAATTTATTTTTTAAACAGTGCTGTCTTTTCCTATTTTTGAAAAAACTATACTTCTTGCCTTGATCCCATGACATTTTCCATAAAGGTTACGGAAAGGTGGTGGTGAAAAGGTTACAAGATGTCAGTTTTCAAAGAGAGACCTATGGGTTAAGATTTTCGCACCCCAGACTGGAAACAGTCTCAAATGTTTTCTCATCATTAATTACATATCTGACATTTATCCTGCTCATCATATATATTTTTTTCTTGAATATTTTTGATTTTATCATTTCAGTTTTTCCACATCTTTTTGGTCTGTGGTGAGATGGCGCCATATGACACTCTATTGACCAGTTGCCATTGCTGCCACGCCTGTGGATGCAAGTCTGACTGGAGCTAAAAGCCTGTTGGCTTATCTTAAAATGAAGACTGAAATGGGGACAAACATAATCTCGCTGAGGGCACCTCTTCAGCTCACTTGTAAATCCATTACATGATATCACATTTGTTTTGAACTGACTGACTAAAAACTGACAACTTGCCATTTGCCAGGCTGTGCCATGACAACCAGTTGCTAAGCAACCAGCAGAGACTTCAGCAAGTTACTGGTCCCAGGCAAAGTCGTGCTTCAGTGTTTGCATGTCTTAGCTCCAGGATTGTTGGTCAGGAGACTTTTGAGCCAAGGGCTGTTTTTATTGGCAGCCTTGATGTTAGGATAACAATGAAGAAAATGTAAATAAACGAGGACTTTTATTTAAATAAACAAGACGGCTGAGGTGTTTTTATATCCATCCATCCATTTTCCGAGCTGCTTATCCTCACAAGGGTCGCGGGCGGTGCTGGAGCCTATCCCAGCTATCATCGGGCAGTAGGCGGGGGACACCCTGAACCGGTTGCCAGCCAATCCGGATTTAATCCGATGCTTGAACCATCCACACTCACACTCATACCTAGGGACAATTTAGAGTGTTCAATCAGCCTGCCATGCATGTTTTCGGAATGTGGGAGGAAACCGGAGTACCCGGAGAAAACCCACGCAGGCCCCGGGACAACATGCAAACTCCACACAGGGAGGCCAGAGCTGGAATTTAACCCGGTACCTCTGCACTGTGAGGTCGACGCGCTAATCACTGGTCCACCCACCAGGTCGCCAGGTGGTGTTATACGTAACTAATTGATAACCTCTTAAAGTTAGTGAAGGTCCACTATAGACCAAAATTTAGCATTTATACATCTCACACAATGAATAGAATATTAAACTCGATGAATAAATATCATATTTAAGGGTAGACGTTTAGCTTTCAAATTTTTAGGTTTGAAATGATTCCTCTCTGGAGGCCTTTACTGCAGCCACTGTCATTTGCTGCTTGTATGTAGGTCTTGCTGCCTCTTGTTTTCAGAAACAGAAAAGTATGCTTTATTGGGATTGAAGGCAAAAGAACTGAATGATCTTCAGTGGTTAAGGCAGTGGCCTGTTCTGTTCAAAATGTTCCAATGACAAAATTATAATTTTAATTATTCAAAAAAAAATGCATAAATAAACAGATGAAATCATTTCTAGCAGACTCAGCAACAGAGATCAAAAGAAGTGCTCCGATTTTGTTCACAGGTCAATAAAGAATTTGGCAGAATTTACCGGTGTTGTGACGAGACCCCAATTTTGACTTTGCCTGTATACCCATTCATTACATCTTTATTCATATAGCACTTTGACCACACCTGTTGCTATAACAATGTGACAACAATGGTTGGTTGTCTCAATGTGCCCTGAGATTGGCTGGCAACTGGTTCAGGGTGTCCCCTGCCTACAGCTGGGGACACCCTGCTGGGAAAGGCTCCTCCACTACACCCACGACCCTTGTGAGGATAAGCGGATTAGAAAATGGATGGTAGGATACTAATTCACTTATATATATATATATATATATATATATATATATATAATTAATGTGTGTGCGTGTGTACACAGTATATGGAAAGCAAATTGCTAGTTTAAGTCAGATGGCTGTGTTACGGAAAGGATTTAATCCGATGCTTGATCAATTTAATTGGATACTGTTGTAATGGCCCGGTCCGGGAAGCGTCTATAATAAATGAGGCCTAACACATACCCCATATGCCGCTTTGCCATTATAGATAACAGCTCCGACACTTCTGTCCTTTATTCTTTTATTTGTGCGTCTTGGATGGGTGCGCCGCCCTACACAGTTATTTTTTTTTTTGTTCTGTTTTGTTTTAGCCCCAAAGTACTGGTATTTTGAAATGATGGTATTGCGTCATGTTACACCACACAGTAGTACCTGCACTTGCAACACTAGGCTTCACCCTATAAGATGTTTTAATGACAAAGTAAGGCTGGTGTGTCAGACAGACACACAGATAAGGAGAGAAAAGTGTATTTATGCGCATGAATTCACTGTTCCGTATTTAAAAAATAAATACAGCACAATATGGCCATTGCTTTTTCATCCAGACTTTCTACCTGAATAAAGCACAATTTCCTAAATTATGTTTTCCAGTTCTTTCATCATGGGAATGTGATTTTGGCATGTTTTCAGTGTTTCACATTACAAGAAGCAGATTTGTATGTATGTATGTATGGTTTGGTTGTCTCCTTCAGCCGCTCGTGTCTTCACTGATTTCGGTGACCCTAATTAGAAAGAATCTAGTGCAGCGCCTCTCTCCAACAGGTATTCGAGTGTTGTTACAAAATCAAACAAGAGTCGTTGTCCTAGATATTTTTTCATCACCCAAGTTTGCCTGCTCGACTTTAATACATTTCTCTCATTG